GAGCTCAGCAGACAGTTAGGTTTCACTTTCACTTTCACCCGAGAGCCTGCAGGAGTCATGGGCGGGGCGTGTGGAGAGGGGGGGCGTGCTCCGCCATGAGGAAGTTCGGCTTAAAGACACGTCCCAGGGGCGTTTCTGTTCCCCACCTGTCGTTTTGCTCCTCAGCATGGCTTCATAAAAACACTGCAGGATTTCTCAAACATGCATGAATGAGTCAAAGCAAGGCTTTGGACATGTTTTTTATGAGAGTATAACATAACATGATATAAAACTCAAAAAAGTTGATTTTACATGATATTGCCCCTTTAAAAAACACATTACTCTTCATTTTTTTTAGATTTATTCTGATCATTGTGGTTTCAGTAGATGTTGGATACAGGCGAACAGCTGATGGTCCCAGATGATTTTTCTGAAGAGGAGAAGAAATCTGGTTTTGTGTGGCGGCAGCTGATGGCCGGAGCTGTGGCTGGATCCGTATCACGAACTGGAACCGCCCCATTAGACCGGCTCAAAGTCTTCCGACAGGTCAGCCTGTGAGCGTTTGATTTTCTCTCCTTTCAGGTTTCCCTGCTTTGCTTCATGGATTATAGCAAAGGTTCAGTCCATTTTTGTGGCTCTTTTCTTGTTGTGCTCTGCCAGGTCCATGGCTCCTCTGATTTTAAAGGAAATTTCCTGAGTGGTTTTCAGTACATGTTGAAAGAAGGAGGACCGTGGTCGCTGTGGAGGGGAAATGGAATGAACGTTCTAAAAATTGCTCCTGAGACCGCTGTCAAGTTCACAGCTTATGAACAGGTTAGGACTACTGGAATGAAATGCTTTTTCCCCCACTGGCTTTCAGGCGTGTGTTTAGATACCTCAACTTTTAGCATTCTGACAAAAAAATCCTTACCATCTTTGTTTCTAACAATAAGAACACATTTTACCATGGAGTTTGCTTTATCAGATGAAATCACCAAACTGACTTCTATAAAACACAGTGGTGGGCAGCGCTAACCCAAAAATTAGCTTCGCAATTTCTAAAGCGCTTATGAAAATATTTAGGTCCGCAACTTCAAAAGCGCTTATGCCATAGAAGAACTATTAGCAGCTAATTTTTAAGCACAAGTTCAATTTGACACTTACTAGCTGGCAATAAGTCATGTACAATATATACACAACACTGGCAATTAGTGGTGTATGAACCCTTGTACAGCTTAATTCTACAACCGCCGATTGCTGGGGATGTGATTTCCTGAAACAGACCTTTAGCTCCTGGGGTAAAATTTAAAAAGTTGTTGAGGATTGCTAGTTCGGCTGCTTCTTTGTCTTTTTCTTTTGTTTGTTGTAGATTTTTCATTAAAGAAGCATCAATAAAGTAATTTTAAAACTGTTTATTGGAAAACTGAAGCGATGCATTCTGGGTACATGACAGACTGATGGGAAATAAAAGTTTTCCATGTAGTTGCTCCATTTGACCACTAGATGTCTGTCTAACCCCGTTGGCGGATTGCTTCGACCAATTATGTCAAGTATTGAGCTCCAGCATTTAAACTTTTTTTTTAAAAAACGGAGCTCCGATTGTAAAGTAAAATAAATCAATACATACAAAATTTTAGTATGGATTACAAACGTTTACTGTTTTTGCTGGGAAAGGGAGTACTAAACATTGCCTTCCTGCTATGTAAGCAGACACAAAGCATTGTGGGAAATGAGAACTGTGACTGAGAGCAACAGTCAGCAAGGATGTATACGTTTCCTATACGTGTGTTTATCTGTGAGGGGTGCTGTTGGATAGATCACGTGTGTTGTGATTCATTAACAGCCATACCGTCTTCTGTTCAAGATAATGATGACAGGTAGATAATTAGTTATTAGTGGTACTACATTTTAATTTTAAAAAGCACAAATCCGCTTATGAATTATAAAAATTAGTAAGACCGCTAAAGCGCAAACGATATATTTAGGTCCGCAATTAGTGGATTTGCGCTTTAGCGGGCTGGTGCCCACCACTGATAAACCATAGCTACTTCCACAGTGGCCGACAGATGCAAATGCATAGTAAACAGCAAAACATGCTACAAACACGATATAAGCTTAAACACACACACACACACACACACACACACAAAAACAAATGCAAAAAAAAAAATCCTGTAAATACAAAAACTACTGCAATCAATGAGATGCAGAAAAAAGTTGTAGAGAAGAACAAAGGTAGTATTTTCTTCCTTAACGTCCTCACTGTGAGTCTAGTCACATATGAGTTGCTGGTTGAATCCCTTTAGTTCTCTGGTGCACTTTTGATTTGTGCAGCGAGTTTGCAGAGTTTTCTGACTTCCCATAATTCTTTGTATTTGCAGCATTTTCACTTTGCAAATTTTTTGTTGATTGTATGTTTTTGTCTGTCATTGTTTTGTAATTGAAGCATTTTTCTGTTGCATTAGTTTTCTTGTGTTTGTGTTTTGAGTTTGCATCATTCGTGTGTTTGTGGCATGCTCGGCTGTTTGCTGTGAGCTTATTTGCTGCGTGTTTGCATCTATCAACCATTGTATACTTCTCTTTTATTTGTCTGTCTGTATATCTTGAATATTAGTAATAATATCAACATTGCTAACATTCATATCAATATCCATGTTGAAGTACTTTATGAACTACTGGACAGATTTTAATGAAACAGTGTAATATTTGACAGAGGTCTATAAAATACTTGAAGAAAATAACTAAGTAAAAGTAAAATTACATGAACAGAAAATGACTTTGGTAAAAATAAATGTCACTGATGAGAATACTTAGTAAAAGTCATAAAACTGTTCACAAAAATTGTAAAAGTACTTTTCCACGCTCTCTAACAAATAAACTGTTAAATTTACAGAACCAAACAGGCTCCACAAAAACAAGTTGATTAAATTGGTCATTTTCTTTAAAATAAAATATGTATATCGCCTCAAATTTACTCTACTACGTAGGTTTAATGTAAATAGTTGATATGATTTAGTTGAGTAAATTCAGCACTTAATTTTTTTAGACCACAACTCCTTTCATGATGAGTTCAGACAGATTTAATTTATAACAAGAAACTAGGTGTTAAACTTTAGAGTAAAGAAGTAAAAGTTCATTTTTAGGTTTTAAAAGTAACTAAGTAAAAGTAAAGGTCATGATTTAAAAAAATGATTGGTAAAATTACAAATTCTCAAAAACATTATGTAAGGACTGTAACAAAGTAAATATACTTAGTTACTATAAACCTCTGATATTTGAACATCTGCAACTTGTGTTTTTAAGCCCAATCCAAGGTTTATTTTATTTGTAAAGTTTATTCATTTAAAACAAAACAACATAAATTCAACATACAACACAAAGCAAATCAAATTTAATGAAAGGTAGCAGAAGAAGAAAAGAATTTATGATTTCTGCCCCTTTTTCTTAAACAAATTCAATCAAAAAAAATCTTCAAATTACAACGCACAAAAAAAAGAGAGAAAAAACAATAAAGGTTTAATTCCTTCTTGAGTAACAATTCATGCCTTATACTCATACATATTTCATTTTCTTAAATATACACATTGATCTGGCTTTTTTAATGCTTTCCTCCAGATTATTCCATAATTTAATCCCCTGGACTGAGGTACTCCGTTCCTTCAAACTGGTTCTAACTTTCGGTTTGACAAACATTTCTATCCCCTTCAGATTGTAACAACTCACTCTTAACAAAAGGTAATTGGATGTTTGAAGGTAATGTATTTTTACGGGCCCTATACATAACTGACAAAATACTATAATCAACCAAATCATAGACTTTCAATACCTTCAACTGATGGAACGATGACCACAAAACACAAAACATCAGATGAGAGCAGCGGGGCATGTTCATCTCTTCCCTCTAGTTTCTGTTTTTAAAAGTCAGGCTAAAATATTTCCATAGAATTATAATCCTAATGTTAAGATATGTTGATCTGCACCGTCTGGCCTTCGTTAACTGAAACACCTTTTCTGTAATAAATGATGATGTTTTACCAAAATTCTTTTTTTTTTCTTTCTGTTGCCCTATGCTCTCTACAGATCAAGTGTTTGATGCGTGGAAGTAATGAAACTAGAACTCTGAGGATTCACGAGAGGTTTGTTGCTGGTTCTTTAGCTGGAGCAACAGCTCAGACTGCCGTCTATCCAATGGAGGTAAAGTCGGGGTTATACACGTACAGACTGCAGCTATGAGAGCGCATGATAGATTGCATAAAACCAGTGTTGTATAAAGTACCACAAAGTGATAGTTGAGTAAAAGTACAAGTATCTTACTAAAACATTACTTTGGTAAAAGTTAAAGTCTCGTTTAGGAATATTACTTGAGTAAAAGTATTAAAATATATGATATTTTTTGTACTTAAGTATTAAAAGTAAAAGTATTGATTTAAAATGAGCAGTTAGATTGTCTGTAATGACATTTATTAGGAGGTGACCTCCCCAAAAACTGCAGAAATAACTATGGTGTATTAAAAGAATTTATTGATGTTAATTTTAAGATGCATTAGTCTAATCTGTCCTGATGCATCTCAGTAATCCAGGTAAAAAATCAAAAAGAAAAAATTGTATAGGTCTTCTGGACGGGTTCTTCTCTAATGAAACGTTTCGTCTCTCCTCCAAGAGACTTCTTCAGTCTGAGAGTTTCAGGCAAAATTCAGGCTTTTAAGCCCTGCCTCCATGTGACTCTCACATCACGTGGCTATCGTTGACACCTAATTAACACCTATTGTTAACAGGGGTGGAGTGATACTGGCAATGGCTGTGCTGTAGGAGGGGGACAACTGAAAACGGAGGCCTCCACCTCTGTTTAATAATGGACAGTCTTTTGGTCTACAATTTTTTTCTTTTTGATTAGTCTAATCTGTTTCAGTTAATATACACATATCAAGGCTGCACAAACCTTTACCCCAAAATGAAAATCGATGAGGGCTGCGGCCAAATGCAATAATATAATTCATGAAATACAAATAGTTACAGTCCTTATCCGGTCTTTTTATTTTAATAATTATGTCCTTCTGGAGTGTGACATGATTTGTTGGTGTACAAACTAATACGGTATCAGAGTTTTATATATTTATACTTCTCATTCAAGCACAGTTAAATTCACTCTGTTTAGGAGGTGCAGTGTATATGGATAGTATTTATTTTTTACAATAACAAGCTGGAATAAAAACAAGCAAAAATAAAAGTAACGACTTTCTACTTCTTCTTTTAAAAATGTAAGGAGTAGAAGTAAAAATTAGGCTGAAAAATAATTACTCAAGTAAAGTACAGATACCCAAAAATTCTACTTAAGTACAGTAAAGAAGTATTTGTACTTAGTTACTTTACAACTCTGCATAAAACTAATACATACTGTTTCTGTGTGGCCTCTTTTCTCTTCTGTTCAGGTGTTAAAGACCCGTCTCACTCTGAGAAAAACTGGTCAGTACTCAGGAATGACGGACTGTGCCAAACAGATCCTACAGAGGGAAGGTGTCACTGCCTTCTACAAAGGTTACATCCCCAACCTGCTGAGTATCGTCCCGTACGCTGGCATCGACCTGGCAGTCTACGAGGTCAGACAGAGACAGACGGCTCACACTGTGGTGCGTGTCCTCTCTCTGTTTACTCCTGCCTCCCTCTTCTCCTCCACAGACTCTGAAGTTTGCGTGGCTCAACAGGAACAGAGGCGTGGCCGACCCGGGGGTGATGGTTTTAGTCGGCTGCGGTGCCGTTTCCAGCACCTGTGGACAGCTGGCGAGTTACCCGCTGGCTCTGATCCGCACACGCATGCAGGCTCAAGGTTCGGATGATTTCACTCACGCTGGTAGATACTGAAGGATCTGGTGTTTAGCTTCAAGAAACAAACCTGAACAGTTAGTAAGGAAATATTGATACAATGAAATATCACGATATATCATTTCATGATACTGTATCGAATTTTAATGAAGACTTAAAAAGTAAACTTTCATTCCAGCGGTTCATTCTTGTTTTAGCTTCCGACCTCTAGTTGGCAGCTGTCCTCCAGCCATTTGTCTGCACTGAGGAGTCTGAGTGTATCATGCTAGCTCAAACCTTAGTAAGAGTTGAGGTTTTTAAAACTAGAATCTTTTGGAGAAAAAAATGGCAATATATCGCCTTGCTCACTGTATCGCAATATATCGCGATATAAAGTATTATATAGTAATATATAAAGTATTCACATTCATTACTTAAGTAAAAGTATAGATACTAGGGTTTAAAAATACTTTTTTGGAAGTATAAGTATCAACTTAAGCTTTTTACTCAGGTAAAAGTACAAAAGTCCTGGTTTAATTCTACTTAAATATAAAAGTAAAAGTAATGAACACTTAAAAAAGCCATTAAGGATAAAAGCTCTATCCATGGGCTCCATGTATCTGGATAGATTTTTATTTATTTATTTTTTTCTGAACAATGAAAAGATGGAACAAAAACATTTAAATAGAAATGAAATACTTAAGTAAAAATAACCAAAATTTCTGCTTAGGTAAAGTAACAAAGTATTTATACTTAGTTACTTGAGACCTCTGGATATAACATCCCTGAGATCCCTGTGTTGTGAAATGTATCATATCAACAAATTCTTGCCAATACACAGCTCTACTGAACAGATTTTTTCCCCTGAAAAGATGATATCTAGCTTCCCGTAAGAAAATGCATGTCCCCACTCAGCCTTTCATGCAATATTTTAGATTAAACATCTCTTGTTGAAAAGGAATTATAGCCATTTGGCTCAAACCTTGAAATGAATGCACAATCTCAAACAATGTTGCAACACCTCGCTTGGGTTTGCTTTTTATTTCTGTAAATTTACTCAGGACATTTTGTGTAGGCTACTGTTGATCAGCTGTGGCGACCATCTTGAACTGTGTTAATTTGTAGATGATTGCACCTGAAGTACATGTTAGGAATCAGCCACAGCTATGTCCTGATGCATCTCAGTAATCCAGGTAAAAAATCAAAAAGAAAAAATTGTATAGGTCCTCTGGACTGGTTCTTCTC